TTACTAAATCAAGAATTGGCAGGTGCAACTTACAGGCCAAGATGCAGGTGAAGTTACAGAAATTATTACAAATAAAAGGTAATCAAAGCTTTAAAAAGACATGTTTAAGTCTCCAGGTAGGCAAATCCCTCTTTTTAAAGAATAGATCACCAAATTTAGGTACTACTCCTCAGAATACCCAGTAAAGCTGTTTCTTATCTCCCACCTGAAAGTCATGGTGTAAACAGAAAATACCCAATAAAATAAAAGAGAAGATAGAGATGCTGAGCTTTGAGCTCTTACTGTTAATTTTGAGTTAATAACTGATTTTTCCCATTTTTTCCCCTCTCTGATGTGTCTTGTCCTAAATGCTTTAAATCAACCTCATTACAAATATTGTAACAAGGTCAAGTGTGCAGTGCTGGAAGGTGGGAAAATGCATTAAAGAACTCAAATAGCAGCAAATTAGGAACCTCTGCATAGTCCCGTGGCATAATTTAAAACCCACCAGGGAAAACCTCATTTTTTATTTCTGAAAACACTCATTAACACCATTCTCAGCTGATCTCAGCACTCATCTCCTGCGGTCCCACAGGACAGGAGGTTTCTGCCAGAGACTCTCTCAGGCATCAGCAGGTTCTGCAGAGTAGCCAGCGAGGACCAGGCACTGAGCTCTGGGTGGTCCTTTGAGGTTCTCCAGGTTCTTAGGCCAAGAAACGGTGCTTTATCCTCATTTTTAGGGAAGGAAATGGTGAACATCAGGAAACAACTGGATGTGGCTGTGTCCATGGGATCACAGAATGGTTTTGGGCTGGAAGGGACATTAAAGCCCGTGTAGTGCCATCCCTGCCATGGGCAGGGACACCTTCCACTGTCCCAGGCTGCTCCAAGCCCCAAAATCCAACCTGGCCTTGGACACTTCCAGGGATCCAGGGGCAGCCACAGCTTCTCTGGGCACCCTGTGCCAGGGCCTGCCCACCCTCCCAGGGAAGGAGTTGACAAAATTGGAATCTTTCAAAGACTGGACTTGATGACTTTGGAGTTCTTATCCAAATTTAACAAATTCTGTGATCCATGTCTGCATCAATCACCTGGATCTGTTGATTTCCATGGGGGAAAACCACCCTGCTAAGACCAGTTTGGCTTTCCAACATGTTATCTGCTTGAGGACCCAACATCCATTTGCCATTGGCTTTGATATAAAAATATATCACTGGAATTAATAAACACAGCATGCTCTACTAAACTTCTATAGATTTTAATGTGAAACTAATAAAAGGAGCCATTGGAAAAAGCTGCACTTGAAAAGTCATTTCATAAAAAATCTTGTAAAAATCCCGTCAGGCATAAAAATGTCACTTCCTAAAAGGGAATGAAATACATCAGGAGAGTTTGACACCACGGCACCCCAGTCTGAGGACATGTAGCAAAAACCCCATGTGATTTAAGCTTCATGGATATTGGGAAAACAACAAATTTGTTAGAGAACAACAATTCAGCTCGTTGAGCTTGAAAAATACTACTTTACTGGTTTTTTACTCAATATAAGCAAAATGTACAGCTGTCCAAGTAGGAAATGTACCAGCTCCCTCTAATACTTTGTTTTATGCCTTGTGAGCATCTCGTTAGCACTTACCAACTTCTCCTAAAATATATTTCTACTCCCAGTGACTTCAGCCAAAAGGTTTAAGCCCTGTCAAGGGCTGTACAAGATTTACCAAAAAAAAAATAAAAGGAGCCCTTTGTGATAATTGACTGGAATATTTATGAAGCTGAGGCCTCAGGTCTTTCAAGGCTCTGTTGGTCAAGGCAATTCTGCTCTGTCTTTACTGCACTGGGAGTTCTAAAAGTAAAAACCTCCCAGGAGCTGCTGCTGAGATTCCACCAGCCTGGAGAAAAGGAGGCTCAGGGGGCCCTTCTGGCTCGTGCTGACAGGAGGGGACAGCCAGGGGAGGTTGGGCTCTGCTCCCAGGGAACAGGGACAGGACAAGGGGAAACGGGTTCAAATTGCACCAGAAGAGGTTTAGGTTTGATATTGGGAAAAATTCCTTTAGTGAAGGGGCTGTTAAACATTTGAACTGACTGCCCAGGGCAGGGGTGGAGTCCCTATCCAAGGGATTGGGAGCAGTGGGAGCAGGTGTTGGAACAGGACATCAAGCAGTTTGGGCATGTAGGAAGGTAAAAAAAAGCGAAACAACAGAAATCACCTCAAATATTTTTACATTTAGGGCAAATTATGGCAGCCTAAGGTAAAACCATGAGACAGAGGCTGAAGTATAAACTTATCTCTTCTTAAACTGAGTTGTTGACAGCTTGTCAGAAGCAAAACTGTTGTAACTTCCCAATGGAGAAGTTGGCAGTGAATTCCAAGCAGAAAAATAGATCTATGCATTTCATCCCTTAAATAATGTCCTTGTGTTTCCAGTGGTGTGGTGACACACCTGGGAACATTTGGGAACATGGATATTGTTGCCACCTAATTCCACCATGGGATTAAGGAGCTGGAAAGGGCGCACGAGGTCTCCTGATGAGATTTTTGGCCCTTGTCCACAGCCAAGGATCTCCTGAGGGCTCCCAAATCCTCCCCTCTTGGATTTCTGTGGCTGAGAGCCCCTGCAGCAGCTGTGAGCTTTGTGCAGGTGCCGAGGGCTGGGCTGGGGGAGCTGTAAAATAGCAGGGGGTGACACAGAACTCTGGAGGGGATCAGGCGTGTGCAGGGGAAATGCTGGAGCAGTTGGGGCCATGGAACACTCGGAGAGCGAGGGTGACTCCACAGACAAGGAGTGCAGCTTTTCGGGAAGCAGCTCTGAGGAAGAAGGAGATGAAGGCCAGGGGGTGTCTGAGTCAGTGCTTTCCTCTCCTCCCTGGGGTCACAGGGGGTGGTGGGCACTGCCAGGAATGAATGAATTAATTAATTGTTAATAAGTTGTGTTTTATACATCACACTTCTAATAGCTGCTTGTGCATTTAGTGCTGTGCTGTTAAAATAATTACTTGTATTTAATGCACTTGTAGTAATTAAATACCTGTTGCATTTAATGCAGTAATTACTTTTCACTTGTCATAATTCCTTGTTGCACTGGTAGTAGTTACTTTGTGCATTTCCTGGGAGTAACCTCTGCATTTAATATTTTGCACTGGTGGTAATTAGTGGTTTCATGTATTTACTAGTAATTAGATTTTCATTTAATGCTGTGCACTGAGAGTAATTAATTACCTTTGTTTTTAATGCTCTGCACTTGTAGTAGTTCCTGCTTCAGTTAATACCATGGTCACTTATTGCATTTAATGCTGTGCACTTGTAGTAACTTCTGCATTTAATGTCTTGCCCTTGTAGTGGTTACTTTTCCCTTCAATGCTGTGTATTTACCAGTAGTAACTTCTGGCTTTAATGCTTTGCACTTGTAGTAATTATTACATTTAGTGCTGTGCCCTTATAGTAATTACTTTTGCATTCAATGCAGTTCCCGTGTAGTAATTACTTGTTGCAATAAATGCACTTGTAGTAATTCCTTCTGCATTTAATGCTGTGCACTTACTAGTGGTCAATTTTCCATTGAATGCTGTGCACTGGTGGGAATTACTCTTGCACTTGTAGTAATTACTCATTGCACTTAATACCGTGCACTTGTAACAGTAACTTCTACACCGAAGTCTGTGCACTTGTAGTAATTATTTGTTGTGTTTAATGCCCCCTACTTGTAGTAGTTACTCTCTCACTGAATGCTGGGCACTTGCTGGTGGTTGCTCTTGCCTTTAATTCCCTCTTAGCAATTTCTTTCCCAATTAATGCCTTGCACTTGGTGTTTTTCATGCCATGCACTTCCAAAGTTTCCTCATCCTTGAATGCCTGGGATTGCTGTACCTCCCTGTGCTGCAGCTGCTGGCCAAAGTCACCTTCTAGAAAAGGATGGATTAGTAGGAGATAACAGAAATTACAACAGCACCTTATGCATCTGAATACCTCATTTCAGATTTTATTGAAAATATTTGAACTGAAGCCACCAATTTTATCGTATTTTCCTGATCTGTAACCATCTAAGTATAATACAGTAACCAAATTATGTCTGTGATCCATAAATTTAAAGGGATAAATGCCTTTTTGTGGCATCTGGGGTAATGGGACAAATGTGTTGAGTTTTAATGGGAATTTGTGGACACCAATGAGTTTGAATTCTTGTTTTAATGGATCAATATATTGGCAAAAGCTGGCTACAGCAACTTAATAAGGAATTCAATATTCATCCTTATCCTCTCTGCATTTGCCCAAGTTTTAGGAATTAATAGAGATAATTATCCACTGCTATTCCACTGCTTCTTTCTCCTTGCTTTAAATAAGCACAATGTGATTTATCAGTGGGGTAAATTAGCACTAATACACATTTAATTCCAGTCTGAATAGACTCAGAGTCAGCATTCCAGCACAGCCTGGAATATTAATGTTCTTCCCTTGTATTTCTGCTTGCTCTGCTGTAAAAGTATGAACATGAAGAGAGCTTCAAAGCAATTAAAGTTAATTAATGATGACCTCAAACAGAGAGTGCACGTGCATCACCCCTTTATAATCATATTCCTGCTTTAATACCTCCAGTCTTTAAATGGGAATTTCTATTCCTAACAGCACCTGTACATCTCATTTTCTGCTTCAGTGGAAGTGAAGAGTGGTGTTCCTGCCTAAATGGATGAGAGGTGTTTAGGAGAGGGGAAGTCTCTCTTGCCTGTAATCCACTTACCCTTGAAACATGGAAAGTTTGGAGGGAATTGGGATAAAGTGAACCCAGAAAATGCAGCACTGACTCTTAAACACTGGAACACCAAATCAACCTGATTAAAATGAATTAAATTAACACTTTTATTAGTCTTGGAATTCTAGTCTTTTATTAGCCTATATGGATGATGAAAACAGCAAGGTAAAGCTGTGAAAGCCCAAAATTTGTCCTGAAAGTGCTTGAATAACCCTGTGTGTTGGAAATCAGAAGACTGTCATGTAAATAACTGAAGAAATGTGTTTTTTCTTACAGGGAGGATGTCAGGACAGCCAACGTCATCGCAGCTGAAGCGGTCACTTGTCTGGTCATAGACAGAGAGTAAGTTCTTCCTTCTGCCTGGGGCTGGGGGGAAACTCCAATTTAAACCTTTTCCTGAGCTTAAGGAGAGCCTTGGATCATCTTCTCCAGAGAGGCCTCTTAATGTGGGGTGATAAAGTCACAGACATGTCCTTGATGAGTGGAGGGAAGCTGGCCCTAAATCAACCAGACAAAGCTCAATAGTGACAATTAGAATCACAGAAAGTCCAAATGGAAATAAAGGAGGAGCTGGAATTTCTCTGGAAAAGGGAGCTGGGTGTTACAGTGGGACGCATCAGCTCCTGAAAGGCATCAGCTCCTGGCAAAGTTGGAGCGAGGTGTTATCCCAGTCCATGTGGGGATGGAGAGTCCTTGGGAGAAGGCCACAGCCCTGCTGGGAGCTCTGCCACTCAGAGGAGATACAAGAGACCAGAAAAGTAAAATAATAATTTGTATAGGAAGCTTGAGAGAAGTAAGGGGGGTTAGTCCTGAAAAAAACATGCCTGGATGCTCCAGTGCTGCAGATCCAGCTGCTCTCTGCAGTTACTGGGAATGGGATTAAAAAATGACATAAAAATGATATAAAATGACATAAAAATTGAACATGACTCCTGGGCTGGTTTTCCCATTCTGAAGCACTGGCACAGACCAGCAAAAGGCACAGACACACCTTCATGGGAATCTTTCCATGGGAATGTGGTAGGGATCTGTGAAACCCACAGAGAGGGTCAATAGGTATTGACTTTTCACTGCCTCCCCCAGTGCCCGAGGTCCAAGAAACCTGCAGGAGGGAGCCAGAAACTATGGAATAATGAGAAAAAATTGCCAGTGTTGGAAAGGAAAAGAAATCCATTGGATTTTTGAAGTATGTGTGACCCACCTCTGGGCCAGGAGCTTTCAGAGCAGTGTGGATTGCTGGGGCATCTGGGCAGGGCCAGGAGCTGGATCCGTGTGCATCCCTAGAAGTGATTCTGGAGTCCTGCTTGTGTTCTGGTGGGAGATGGGATTCTGTGCTCTTTTAGGGCTGATCTCCATCCCCTCCGTCCTGCTGTGACACAAGTGGTTCATGTTGAGTTATCTCACAGGCCTCCATTTCTGGAAATCCAGTGTTCTGTAAAGGCTGAGCTGGGGGATGCCTTCAGAAATCCTGAAAAGTTCTGCTTAATGTTAATTCATTATTAATTTCAAAACCCATGGTCTGTCCACTGAACATAGGTGGGGAACACCTGAGAGCTCCTTTCTCAACCTGGTAGGTAAAACACCCACCCTCCCTTCTTGTGCTGTGGGGCAAAGAGAGGAAGAAGAATTTGATCATTTAGCAAGATCATGTTTTAATAATATTTGTATTTTTAATAATTAGATAATTTAGCAATCACTAATTCAGAGAAATAAAAAGCAATGAGTAATTTATACTTTTTATTTTCACACTTTTGCAACAGGTATTTTTAGTTTTCACTGTGAGAGTTAAAAACCCCAAATAATTCAAGTCGCTCATTCCTGATTATTTCCCAGACTGTTCCTTTCCTTGTCTCTTGTGCCTTGTCCTCAGCATACAATGCCCTTGAAATAGTAAGGAAGTACAAGTTAAATTTAAACTGATGAAGCTGTGGTTAATCTACCCCAGAGATTCTATTAACACCTTTCAATTAGCAGAGTAACACTATTTATACAATTCTTATTTATAGTGCAAGAAAAGTGACCCTATTGATAGCCCTATTTATAGCTCAGAGCAGGCTGTCCTGTGTCCTGGCCAGTGCTGAATTTCATGTCCCAGCTCTTCCTTAGGCTGTTATTTTGTAGGAATGACAACAACAGGAGCAAAATTTCATGTGGAGATAAACTACCGGGACTTGTGGCAATTTGGGAGATTGGTGAGGAAAAAGAACCATTTTTTTATATCCAGATAGGGTGAATTTTACACCTTTTGGGTTGTGGTGGTGGATGTGAATGTTGAGTGACACAGGAGGTGGCAATGGGAGCAGGGAGTGGGTGTTCCCTGCAGCTGGAATCTGTTCCATGCAGCAGGAGGGGTGACACAAGTCACTGAAGTTGCCAAATATTTCCTTTTCCCAGACAAGCTCCTTGCCTAATCAGATGGAACCACTGAAGCAGCAATTTCCACTCTCTGTGGGTGTCCCCATTTGAAGCAGCTCAGCAAAGCTGGTGTTGCAGTTTCAAAAAACCAGGTGATGGGAAAAGACTTTTTCCTTAGCACATGGAATTCCTGGAGAATTCCAGTCTCACTGACCAACACCACCCACTAGAATTATCTGCAGCAGGGTAGCTCTTCCAAATTCCTTGTGAAAGGCTTCCCAAGGCATCCAAAAATTGTTCCAGCTGCCACACTTCCATCTCATTAACAAAGGAAGTGCTACAGGAAGTTATTCCTAAGGGAGGTGTGAACCTGGCTCTGGATTTGCCAATATTCCCAGCAATGTTAGGGCTGATTTAGCTGCTGCAGAGTTTGTAGTTTGGGGGTGAATAATATGGGAAACTTTCATCACAGAGATGAGCCAGGAGCTCTGCACAAGTTGGGTTTGAAAAGGGAATTGCTTAAGCATGAAAAGAGGGAATGTTTTGCTTAAAAGGATCTCTGGAATTTATAAAATATGTATAAAATGGGTACAGGGCTGAATCAGTGGAAGTCAGAAATACCACGAGGGAAGCCAAACTGGAGCTTGTGATGGGTCTTTAATTACCAGATGATGTTGGTGCTGCCTTGCTTTTTAATTTCCTTGTGAAACAAGAGGACTCTCCCAGTCCCAAAACCGTCCCCAAACCACCCCAAAGTCTCCCAAAACGTAGTGCAGCTATTTTTGCCAATCTAGGAAGATGTACTTTGCAAAGTGCATTCCCAGTATCATTTTCTGGTGTAGGAATGAGCAAAATCCTGATCTAACAATGAAAACAACCTGCGGGAAGCATTTGATGCATCCCGTGGACTTTGTTCCCACTTGTCCTTGTCCTGAAAATATTTGTTACAAAAAGCATTGGCATTTTTTCCATCTTACAATTGTGGTTTTGAGTGGCTTCCATTACTGGAGTAATGAATTTCAGTGGGATTTGGTCCTTAATGCTCTTAATCCTTCCCTGTGAGAGTGGGGAGGCCCTGGCACAGGGTGCCCAGAGAAGCTGTGGCTGCCTCTGGATCACTGGAAATGTCCCAGTCCAGGCTGGCTAGGGCTTGGAGCAGCCTGGGATAGTGGAAGGTGTCCCTGCCCATGGCAGGGGTGGCACTGGATGGGCTTTAAGGTCTCTTCCAACTCAAACTTTTCTAGGAATTCTATGGTTCCCATTGGGAGTACCATTCATTTTGGTCCCCCAAGGAAGAAGGTTGTACTTGAAGAAAGAACTTAGAATTCAGAAAAAAAAAAAAATCCAAAGAATTTCCCATTATCATCAAAATTTCAACACAGAAGAGGAGGTTCTGTAATCCAGTGGGGAAAGTGAAGTGAGAGGGTGACAAGGCTAAGGGAATGAGGATGGCAGCCCTGAGAAGGGACCACAGGACAGGCTCCGTGCCCAAGCTCTCTGGTGAGTTGGGATTGATTCATCCAATGTTCTTCCTGCTGGCCACGGAGCACAGACCCAACCTTGGGCTTATGGAATTGGCTTGGAAACGTCAACAAAATCCACACGGTGTTCATGGGAATTGTGAAGAAAAGGCCAGCTGGATAGCTGACCATCTGAGGGAATTGGGATAAGCCTTTGGATGCTTGAGGAGCCACACAGCTCAAACCTCCACTCTGGGGACACACATTAATATTTTACAGCACCTCTCAGATGCCTTTTAGGCATTTTTATTTCCAAGTGCTTTTTTTTTTTTTTTTTTTTTACAATTGATGGACTTTCTGTCTTTAGGACTTGCCTTGACCTACAAGATCAAGGCTGTTGTTAATGAAGTTTTTCCTGTGGTGACACTGCAGGAATTCATCCTCTGGGAAAAAAGTTACTATGGGAGCTGTTCGGTGGTGTTGCCTCCAAGTTGTTCCAAACTTGGCCTTGTCAGAGCTCATCCTGGTGAATTTCCAGGCTCCTTAGAGAGGTTATTAGATTTGTTCCAGAAATACAGTTGGGGAAGAGTTAGCAAATATGTACTGGATTTGATGGATTGGTCCTTTAGGAACTTGTCTCTAAAAGGTCTTGTGATAAAAATGGTGCAGACACGCCTTGAGCATCTGTTCTGTGGATCACTTTGGATAAAGATGCACAGACAGACTTCACTGTAGCCCCTTTGTATGGAGAGAAAACAGGAGGGAAAGGCTCCAAACTTATTCCTGACATTTGGATCATCACTGGCACCCTCAGGGACAAGTTGGAGCAACTTTATATTTTTTTTTTTTTTTCCCCCACCTACCTCTTGAAACTGAGAATGTGTTTGAAAGTGTTTGCGGCTGCTCCTGAACTGTTGGAATATTTACACTGAGGTTGATTCAGGTTCATCTTTTATTTATATGGGATTTTTTTTCCCCTCCATATAATTTATTTATGGCGCCAACAATGTTTTCCTGGAGCTCAGAGATTTAGCAACACTGTGGGTATTGGGAGGACAAAATTGCCTCATGCAAATGGAGAGAGAGGAGCTAATGGATCCGAGCCAGGAAAACTCAAGGCACAGCTGCTGCTGACAGAGACTTACAGAACTACCTGGAATTTACACTAAATGCTGTTTTTCCAGCTTGTCCTTTTCAGCTGCACATATCAAGAGGATGCACTTTTTTTTAAGGCAACATTTTAAATATTTCAGCTATTTTCTGCTTTTCTACTTTGCATTTCCCATTTTTGTCTGTGTTTCAAAGCCTGGGTTTGTTTTTTATCAAGGAGAGCTGTGAGGTGTCAACAAAGGTTATTGGATTGGCCCCCCTGGCAAGGGAAATTGGAGAAAAATGAAATAAAAAAGTATTATCCTGGCATGACTGACCCCATATAAGCTGAGCTGCTCTTTCAGTGGAGATTTTAGGGTTTGCTGCTTTGCTGTTTCTCCCAGTCGTAGCAAAGTTTATCCATGGAGAAAATTGGTTATGAGGAGAGAATAGAAAAAATGAAGAGAAAAGACCATGAGGAGAAAAAAACCTGAGCATTTTCTGATTGAATTCTGGGAGAGGTTGGGACTGAGCTGAGATTTCAACAATGTTGAGATGGGCAATAAAAAAGGGACTCAAGTGAACTTTGATAGCTTGCCCAGTGCTAAGGCTGGCTTAAAATTTTTAATAAAAATTAAGGGTTTTAGCAAAACTGTTGTTATTCCTTTCAGTGACTTTTTCTTCTTTGCTGTTTCACTAGAAAAGGTTTATTTGCCTTGCCAAAAAACGGAAGG